CCAGCCAAAACAACTCGGATCCGACGGGGAAAGGGGTCAAAGGAAATTACAACAGTCAACATTCTTGATTGAAGTGCAATTTCATGTACAATGGTCTGTAACCCCGTACGTCGAGGGAAAGAAAATATCCTCAACGAAATCGAGAGGACTGGGTTCTCTTTTTCCTCCTTCCGTTGCTATTCCCCACACATACCGGCAAGAGTTCTATACTTGTCAATCTATACCAATATAGGCTTCCGAACCCTAACTGCAAACCCGCGATGTCTCACCAACTTCTCTCTCGTGGTCGGTTTCCGGTCTCTATCCACCAGCTCAACACGTGAGCCATTGAATAATGAAGTGGGCCATATGTAGCACGGATTGAGTGACAGCCTCGGGTAATTGAATAGCCACCAGTTTGCGCGCCGACCGCAAAAGAAAGCTACCTACCGACCTTCCTTCCATGCAACAACTTATCTGAATGACGATCGCATTCGACAAGCATCCCGACCACCGGTTTTGACTCCATGTACACTGACTAGGAAAAGTCTTAGCTCCGCAACGCTCGCACGCAATGGAGCACGGATTCCTGGCTTGATTTTCTGTGCCTGACTCCAAGAAATCCCCGGTAACCTGTTTGTGTGCTGCAACGGAATTGCTCCAGGTCCATCCGTTCCCTTGGGACAAACTGTGGCTGAGGGATGTGAGGTCCTTTTTCCTTGTCTCCTCTTCCGGGATCCTTTACCTAATTTTCTTCCTCAGTCAGTCCCCTCAATAGCATCTTTTTCTATTCTTTTTTCTTCTACTTTTCTTATTTTTTTTTTTTTCGCGCGGCCGTTCAGAAGAGAGACTGGAGGAAAGTGCGGGATGTTGCAAGTGAAACAAGCTTGTCAACCGCGGCTGAACCCAAGTGAGACTTGAGGGTCGCGCGGCTGAGGTTATTTTTGGTCTCACCCACTACTACTACTTATTTACTTAGTAGTTGTTGTACTGTACGTATCATCCACTTCTCGTCTCGAGAACAGCATGTAGCAATCCATGGTAGGTTAAGCATTTGAGTCATGATTCTATTATTGAAGATCATGGATGATCTTCAATTCTTCTGGACTGGTATCGATATAGTACTTCATAGGGTAGTGCTAACCTCTTGCTAGCTCTAGAGAGAGGGGACAGACTACGGTGATGGTGGCTATCTATACCAAGTACCAAGTAGTGACCGGCTACCGGCTCGATCGAGAGTGGTTATGTTTCTTCTCTGTGGGTAGGCTACTTTCGTGGTAGTCTTACTCTGCCACTACTCTCTATCCTCACTATGGTTATTGCAACTATGTAGTACCTAGTGAGAAGTGAAGAGTGCACCGATCATGCTTGAATTGGAGGTATGGACTCAGACGGTTGAGTCGATCGGTAAGAGCGTTGAGAGTCAGTTCCTTCCTATCGAACGAACCGGTGGGATTGCTTCCGCTCAGTAAGCTCAAAGCTACCCAACCCTCTCACAACACGCGCACATATCCTGCGTGGGCCGTTGTCTCATCGCTATCTTCAAAGAGGAGCTTTACCCCTGAGATGCTGCGTTCTGCGTACGGGCTACTGGTTGGCAAAGTGGGTTGAGCCATCCTCAACTTGCCAATAAAGCTTCTGCGATGATCTGGCTCATAGTCAAGTGAAGTTCAGCGACAGCACAGCCCTGGAGGGCGCGGAAAGGCCTTCAACACTCCGCCGCTGTATAGAATCAAGAACCCGGACAACCATGGGGAAAGGCTTGCTGCCCCTCTCCTTCTTTTTCCTCCTCCCAGACTGCTGTTGACCCTGATCTCCCCTTCCCGTGCGCCATCGGTTGCCTGCAGGAGGGGGTTCTTTATCTCACTTGTCACTGCCTTGTGCGTCACACAGATCCCGGGTCAACACGAACTGCCTAGGATCAGCCACTGAGTAACGGTGACTCTTGGCTTTGTACTGGCTGTACTTCTGTACTTTCTCCCCTCCCAACTCCCCGTGGACTGATCCTGGATCCTAACAATCCCGGCCGCAGCCTGCAACCTGCAGCCTGCAATGACATTTTGATCCAGGGGGTGTATGTGCGCCTGTGTACAAGGATGAAAGGGACATCACGTCACTGTCCTTTGTTCTGATCAAGATCTTGATCTAATTGTGATTGGAGTAGCGGAGCGAACAAGACCATCCAGCTCCATTGCATGCCATCAGTGGTTGGAATGCGCTTCTCGGTTCTCTACTCTTGTCCCTCCTTTGCCTGTCTCACATCTCCATTACCCAGTATCGGCCAGAACGATCGTCCAATTGTGCCCTGGTTGGCGACATCATCGTCAAGACCCCGCCATGTATAGGCCAGCTCACTGGTGGACTACCTAGTGCGAATCACATTCTTCACTTACTGGTTCAAGGTCTCTGTATGGTGCCAATATGTCTCAGTTTTGAGAGGACTATCGGACAAAGACCGTCCAAGGCTAGCTGTTCTGAACTCTGAGTTGAGACACCCATACCCTTCATGTCTACTCAGGGGGAAGGAAGAATTGGGTTGAGTCTCCTGCGCCTCGGGGTCTCTCTAAGGGGGTGGAGGGATGGGAGATAGAGACAATTGGCGTGGAATCAGTTGCATAAGGGATATCTCCAGGCCATCCGACCGAGGCAACGGAGCTTCTTGTGTACGGAATGGGTTCATAGTCGGCGACTGCCAGTCCTTGAGTCGGCGACTGACTATCTCAAGCCACTACCCTACAGGCGACTGCTAGCCCACACAGAGAGGGGTATTTATCTCATTGGTGCAACGGGCAGTGCACGACAAAAGCGATGTCACAAATGGAGGATTGGAGCCATGTTCGAGTGTAACCAATCCTACAAGATGATGCTCCGGCACGGGTGCTTGCGATAAGAGCACAAAAAGCATTGACATACCTTGATCTCCCGGGGGTTTCTGACTATAAAGAGCAACCTTATATTGAAGCTGTTGATCTGTGACTACATACACATTCTGGCCGTCACAATCAATTACTTCGCCAGATCAGGCCATGTTCCAGATCAGGTGGAATAGACGAGAGCCAAACCAAAGCCCAACGGTTTGCATACCTTTGTGTTAACGTCTCTACCATCAAGCTTCAACCCAAGCCCGTATAGTATATAGCAGCCTCTTTCGGAAACAAAGCGAAGCAAAGCAGCCAAGAGAAACCAACCCGACGATATTCGCAGTTTGTAGCATAAGGTACTGCGTAGTCGAACCAAGTCTAACTTAGTGCCCTTTAGTCATAGTAACCTGCAATTGACTAACTATTACCTACACGAAGTATACGACCAGTTGAATGCTCGCCAAATCCACCAGTCAACTACCCAACTTGCTAACATAGGTACAGCAAGTTACTTGCTGAACCATCAAATCAGATCTTAACTCACATAACACGAGAGAGAAATAAAAAAGCCCTATAGTCAAATCAATACTCAATAACCCAACGAAACAAAAGCTAAGAAAGAAACCGACAACCAAGACGAAACAAAAGTGCCTACTACTATAGAGATGTTAGACTAAGAGAGGGGAGGAAAAAAAAAAGTTATATATAGTATCAGATATGGGTCCCTCCCCCATCCTTTTTTTTTTGTTTCTCTTCCGATATCGATTCGCTACCGGCCAAACCGTTTCCCCGCCACCCACACAATACGAGAGCTCTGCCCCCGCCCCTCTCTCCCCTCCCCTCCCCTAAATTCCGAGCTTTGGGGGGGGGAAAGGCAGACACCAAGGGTTTACATGGTGAAAGTGTACGGTGTATGCTGGGGGGATTATCCTGTTTGGGGAAATCGTGGTGTTAGCCAGGTGAGGTGTGGTGCTCGTTTACCCCGTATACACGATTAAGTGGGATTGTTGAATTTGAGGGAAGTGGATTGGGGAGTTCGGAAACCTCTTACCTAGGTAGTCTACGCCGTACGGTAGTGTGGTGGGAGGGCGCTGCGCTCAGCGGCTCACTATGCCCTGCCTTGCCTGCCGGTGCATGCGCGCGCGGGCCGTGGAGGACCTAGTTAACCTACCGGTAAATTAAGCGACGGATGGGCGAGACTAAATTCACCCAAGCTTGTTTCTTGGAAGTTCAAGGTTGGGGACCGGACCTCGTTCTTGCAGAGATAATCTACGAAACAAAGTGGAAAGAGATGGGATGTGTGTATGTGTGTAGAGACACATGACATGACATGACATGACATGTAGTCGGTCAGCTGATCTGTCACGTTGCTCCTGCCATCCTACATGATGCTGTGGCCTGCATTGTAGATACAGACTCGGAACCCATCCAAGTCCCGTGGGATACGTCCAATGATGTCTCACTTGCAGCTCTCTACACCCAAATGAAGCCCTGAACCCTGAAACCAACAGCCTGTCAGGCTGGGTTCATCATTATTTGCAACTGGTTTTGGCTAAATGACATGGGGGTAGGCGGGCATTAACAAAAGTAACGTGCGTCGACAGTGCAACAAAGGGACGAGGGGGGAAAAAAAAAAAGGGAACCACCACCACCCCCCTAACTAATCAACAACCTTCCTATCATCCCAATGGAAAAACTCCCCCTCAAAGTTCCACTCCCTCGACGTCACGCTGTGCTGGCCAAAGCGTATCCTGCGTCCGGGCCGATTGTCCATAACCAACCAAGCTGGAGCCCAATGCAGGTCCTTTGCACTGGCCGGAAGTGCCAGAAACATGGCCAGTCAGCGTCACACTTGGGCCGTTTCCTCCTGAGATCGACACCCTGTTGGCTGTGTGGACTAAACTGGAGAAGAGACTGACTGGGATATTTTTTACGGGTCTTGGCCAGAAATGGGATCGCTGATAACACCACACGCCAGTCCAGCATAGCGTCACTGGTTTTGGTAGCCATGTCTCACTCAACTCGCCACGGTGCTGCAAGCTGGTGGGACTGGGGCAAGAGACTTTTTCATTTCAATGCTATCTATCCGAAGATTCTTGTTCGAAAGCGAGGGTCCTGCAATCAAGGGGGCAAATAACTCGCAGGCGGACTGGCTGCTAGTCAGAAGATAGTGGCACTCTGCTCGACGGACCGGTTGTTATAGCAGAGAGGAAACAATCGCCCCCAGAATCGATACGCCCCTCGATTCTCCTCTTTCACGGAGACCAACCATCGAGCGAAGCTGTTCTCCGTCCGGCTGGGATTGGTGCTCCGTAGATGAGCGACCTAAATCCCCGTGTTAGAGGGGTGTGGCATGGCAATGGGCCAGTCGGGAGACAGCAGCACACCCCCGCATGGGTCAGATCAGACTTACTTCATGGTATCTCTGTAGAGCATGCCAGTACCGCATCGGCAGCCCAAACCTCTTCGTGACCGTCTCCTTCTTGATCCTCACTAGGGCCTTCAAGTACAATGTGGAGAGGGTTTCACGGGGCAGGTAGATGTGGTCGCCAACGGCAACCCTGCCGGGGAACTTCCAGCCGTGGCGCTCATATATAACCTCGATGAGTCGCGTCAATGTGTCTGCCTGCCAGGTTGCCAAGAGCTCGCGGTTGAATGCTTTCACGTGCAGTTCCAGGTTCATCAGATCGTGTCGGAGTCGATGAGTGTTCGTTCGTAGCTTGCCGATCTTATTGATCAGCATCTCATTGGTCGTTTCTAGGGTATGCAGAGTCGCGGAGTATCTCTGAAGGTAGAAAGAACGGTCAGTTCGTGTTTAACCTCTCAAGTTTCAACTGAGCTAACGAACCCTCAGTGACACGTTGGTGGAATTGCTGTCAGGTTGAGTTAAGCCGGGTGACTGGAGGTGAGACCGGTAGAAGGACATGCCAGGCCCGTATCGCCGGACAAGCTCGGCGTTCATTGTGACGCTTCAGTCATAGAATGTTGGAAGGGCTAGAGACTAGAGGATCAATGAGTGGCTTTTTTTGGTATGAAAGATAAAGCCGCGGTGCTAACTAAGTAACGATGGCACGATATGTACTGCTGTTGTGAAGGACCAGGGGCTGGTTAACACGCTGTTGACTGTTGACTGTGCAACAGCGCAGCAACAGCCTTTCAACACAGGGAAAGGGCGACCTGTCTGTTTGACAGGCATTACGGTGCGGCCCTGGAAGAAGTGACCCACGGAATGCGCGCACAGTCAACGATTGCTACATAACTATCTCTGTGAGTTATGTTCCTTGCAGTTTAGAGTATATCACTGATAGTTGGCGCTCAACGTAGCAGCTCATAATTTGCTTCCCGACGCCTTGCCGAATTCGAAGACCAGCTTGCCGAATTGTTTGCCCTCCTTCATGTCCTGGAAAAGATCATCCAGTGCCGGAATATCGCCCAGGTCGCTTTGAACCACACGTGAGACAACCGGATGGATCTTTTGGCTTCTCACAAATTCGACCATCTCTTTGAACTCTTTGCGCGAGCCCATCGTAGACCCACGCACCTCAATATTCTTCAGCACCGCTTGCATCAAGAAAGGCATTTTGGGAGCGACCGTCATCCCATAGACTGAGAGGATGCCGCCAGCCTGGATAAGTCAGTAATCTCTTCGAGCAGACAACAACGGGGCGCAGCCGACCTTGAGTAGCTTGACAGCCTTCTCGACTGCATCGCCTCCAGCGCCGTCGATGACCGCATCGAAAGACGGCTTTCCGGGGGGAAGCTGACCCAGCAGCTTTTTCTCCCATCCTTCCTCCTTATAATTCACCCCACCCTTGGCTCCCAGCTCAACCGCCTTCTTGATCTTCTCCTCGCTTGAGCTGGTCACATACACGTCGACTCCTCGGGCTACCGCGAATCGCAGAACCATGAGAGCCACCCCACCTCCGATCCCCGTGACCAGAATGGCAGCCCCCTTGCCCGAGTTCCTCTCGCCAGCCTTGACCACCAACGCCCGCCACCCGGTCAACCCCGTCAAAGGAAGTGCCGCGGCCTCCGCATCCGAAAGGTGTTCCGGCGCCTCCTCAACCTCGGACTCCCCGATGGCCACATACTCCTGCAGCGTCCCCTTGTTGTACAATCTCGTTCCGCCCATGATTCGATACCCCGTGGGATCCTCCGGGCCCTCAGGCGAGCTGTCCCAGCCTACGCCGGGATTCAGGATCACCCGTTTCCCCTGCCAGCGCTGCGGGTCAGGGACATCGGGACCCGCCCCGACCACCGTACCCACTCCGTCTGCACCGAGAGGGACATCGAACGTGACTCCCGGGTACAGATGCTGGCGTAGGAAGACATCGCGGTGATTGAGCGAGGCCGCGGTCAGCCTGATGAGTAACTCGCGGCCCTGTGGGGTAGGGAGGGCCTGGGTCTGCACGGAGAGGGGATAGTAGACCTGGCCCGGTTTGCCTTCTGTTTTGGTCAGGAAGACGGCCTTAGACATTTTGATGTAGTGAGCTCCTCGTAGTTGTATAATCTAGGATAGTAGTGGAATTGGAGTCAGGGGGGAGTTTAGCGATCAGGGGGAGTGAGAAGATGAAAGGGCGGACCCAGCTTGGGTTATTTATCAGTGCGTGCGGGGGAGCTTGGGATTTGTTATCAAGTGCCGAGGATCTCCTGAGGTCCGATCGTCGCTGAGCTGGAAGTCTACTCTCACGGAGCAGGTTTGGTGTATAGAAATCATCAGTTGTTGTGATACTCAGATAGAAGAGCATCTCTTCAAGGGCTAGGTAGCAGATATATAGCATATTGAGATATTCTGCCATTCAACGGTCAATGCCATAGAAAGTCGTGTAGCTCCCCTGCAATTGGAACCGAGGACGGATTATTATATCAACCTCAAGACCAGAGGGAAAGACGTGGTCGCTTGTTCCATCGCTTTACAGTCAGAGTCTCATACAAGTGAATTGCCACTCACATTGCATCTCTACCATTGCTTGACCTGTCTCGCTAGAATATAGTGCTGCGAACGACGCAACCACTATGCCCTCGCTGCCTCAGGCTGATAGAAATTATGGGCTGTGTAAATACGATTACCAACGCTGGTAAATACCGGTATGGTAGTCTCTGGAGCGGAGGCAAACATTCCACACAAGAAGCAAACCGACGGAACCTTACATTTCGCAGTTGCAGTCCGGAGAGAATAATTGATCACCTCGACGACACGACACTATTTCTGTTTCTGTTTCTGTTTGCTGGAGCTTTTGGTGGGCGGTGGAAGCAATCAACTCATGCGGGATTTTGGGACTTTGGCGGTTTGTGGGGGGGGGGGGGGGATATGAAGTAAATAGAGCTATATATACACACCTTGCTATATAATATGCAAAGGGAGCAAAAGCATTGAGATGGCAAAAATGAGGATGATGGGGGAGGATGTTGATTGAATGATGCTCCCAATTTATGCACTGCTCAAACATAGACCCCAAATGCGAAGCAATGGGATAGATAGATCGGCTGTGACGTGTCGATTTCGACTTCAATGAAATCGAACTTCTCCGGCGGTTGTTAATGTTCCGGTGAAACAGATGTATGTTGATCCAGATGATCCGCGAGAGATACTGGGTGCCAGGTATGTACCTAGTAAGGTAGTGACTTGCCCGAACTGGGTCACCTAAGATCCAATGAAGTGTACTGTGCCGTTGTCAGAAGATATATACCACCATTCTACAAGATCCTACTACACATGAGTGTGTACTCGAGAGAATAGATCTAATGAATAGATCGCCGATCAAGACCCAGCAACGCCAAACAATCCCAACAACAACAGCCATCCAGTGTATAAAACTCCGGCCATGAGCACAACCCGGAGCTCACCTCGACCTCCCAATTGAAAACCCTAAGTTTAAGTTATATTGTAAATCAAGTATATCGGCGCCAACTGATCTATAGTACGGAGTATAATCCTAATACCCCAGCCAAGCAAGCAACCGGCTCGGTGGGAAAAAGCCCAGAGATTTACTTAAACCGGGCAAGTGACCAAACCTTAAGGGCGATAGAATTTCCGCCGTGGCCGGCCGAGCTTTTTTGTCTGTGGATTATTCGTTGGTGAGAAATTTGGGGACTGATTGAGTCCGTGGTGGCTGATGCGGGACTGGACTCGGAGACCTGCTGCTTGTGCTTTGCTATTGCTGTTGCTGTTGCTATTTGCGTTTCTGCATGATGCAAACGAGGCTGCTTTGCCTCAAATTTCAGGACTTGGAGATAGCTACTAGGCATGTACCTACAGTATAGTTATGCATACCGGTAGACTATTCCTTGCGGAGAGCTACGCATCTATTCTGCCAGCCTATTTTTTTTTTTTTTTTCTCTTTTTGGGGGTTCATTAGTGGGAACGAAAGTACGCAAGTAAAAAAAAAAAAAAAAAGGCAAAGAAAAGAAAGCGACACGTCGAGGAAGAAGCCGAAGCGTTTGCGGCTGGTGTGTGTGGACCAGTCAACGTCAGGGCGTGGTCTTAGGGAGATGGAGTTGGCTGGGGAAGTGGTCGGGCCACGCACTCGATTCTGGAGAGGTCGAGATGTCAATTCCAGCTCCAGAACTGCAGGTACGCAGGTGTAAACAGTAAACAGTAGTAGTCTTTAATTCTTCGATTTTCGATACGCGTGGCATCAACAGTGTACTGTCCCTAGTAAGCATAGGATTGTGCTTGTGCTTGTTGTGCATGGGTGGTCACCACAGTGGTCTGGTGTGTAATAATGAGTGAATGTTTGGATGGACATCAATTATTATCCAGGCAGGGTTACCCTTACTGATGAGGTAATGTACTTTCCAGCCGGCTGGGTGGCTGGTAGTCAGTATGGGGAAAACAGGCGAAAAAGCGGCGAAAACACGAAAACAGACCCCGTCGTATTGCCACATCCGACCGCTCATTCGCCGCTCGGCCCTGGGCTCATTTTTCTCACTCTTGCACTTCCCAAACTTGCCCAGGAACTGATCCTTTCGATCTTCTGATCTCGAACTCGAAACTCGAACTTCGTTCATCCCGTCTGCTGCTCCGAACCTGCAAATCCTCCCACAACCTTTTGGCTTTACACAATTCTGTCGCCATCTCGATCAACTTGGGCCTGGTATGTCTCTCTCCTGCTCTCTCTCCACCATCGACCCTCGTTTGCCTCCCTCCACCATTCATTCATCCCCCCCCCCCGTTCCTCGTCCCTCGGGTTCGTTGGCTGATCGATTCTCTCTTCTCTCCACACACCAAACAGCTTTGCGTCCTTGTATTCCTCCAAACACACTCCTCCAAGCCGCACCACTGACCGTCGACCTTTCCCTCGATTTGTCTTTCATCTGATCTGCTGGACTCGGCCTTGTCTTTCCCGTCTCAACCAGCTATCCTTTCTTCCATAATGCCTACGCCACTTCCCTCTAGTTTTGCCTCAGCCGCCGCGGGCAACATCCACGACTCTTCCAACCGCAGAGGAGATGGAGCTCCCGGTGGAGAATGGTATGCCTCCGTCCCTTACCCGGCTTAACACCGTGTCGCGCGTCGTCTCCTCGTTTGCCAGCCCCCCCCCCCCAATCCAATCCGGCCGGGGACCTCCTAGTTTTGTGGTGGAACCAGAAAAACTGACCACTCATTCCTCCTCCGCTGGGGATGCACAGGTCTCGCACTCGCATGAACGGAGCAACACAGACCTTCCGCCGCCCCTCAGTCGCGACGAACCCGTCGCATAACCGGGATACGAGTCAACCGACCTCGGCCACCACTCCCACCGTCGGCACCTACACCCCCCCGCATATGTCCTCGAACTACCAGTCCAGCGCACTCCGGAACGGTGCCACCACGGAAACTCGTTATTCCAAGGACCTGCTGCTAAATCTCTATAAGAATCAACGGGACACCGGCTCGCTGGGGAAGAATGTCGCAGAATACTTCGTTGCCGACTGGAATCCCCACTCTTCTGAGACCTCCCCCGTCAATGGGGCATGGGGCAAGCGCGAAGATTCCAAGGACAATCCGTCCGGTCCGGAGGTCTGCTGGGATCATGGGGGCCATGTAGAGCCGCTGGGTCTCGTGGAACCGACGGACGACGAGAAAGAGGTGTGTCTTTCTTACGTGTTACACCTCGCCCTTGTGTCGGGGGCAATCTTTGCTAAATTTTGTTCAGTTGTTTACTTCTTCCGTCAACTCTCCGCTCAAGCCGCCACCCACGAACGCTTCGAAAGAGAACACCGCTACCGGCGCGGGAGGTCGCAAGCTGTCCATTTCTCAGGGCCATATGAACAACTACAACACCCCCTCCCCCAGCGCTGGACGTCCCGGTCCCCGGCGTCGGGAGACGGCCGATTCGCCCGCGAATCCAATGTCTCCTACCACCAGTGGCTCTCGCTTCTTCCGTGACGAGCCGACTACGTCCACCCCGCCACCCTCCCTGCTGCGCCGCAAGACCGACTTTCGCGATACTTCCTCTTCCACTGCTCGGTGGGAGGAAAAGGAAAAGGAGAATCTGGGTAAGGAGCCTGGTGCAGATGTCGCCTCTCCGTTCGGCTCGCTGAAGCGGAGCTCCACCAACCCGTTGAACGTGGCGCCAGGTGGGCCAAGCTCGCCTTGGGCGGCCGCCTCGCAAAATGCCAACAATTCCCCGATGGGTACGTTCGGAGCCTTTTCTCTTGGAACGGGAACGAGCACCACCCCCACTACGGAGAAGAAGGCTGGCTTTGGCAGCCTCCGTGGAGAAAGTCGCCTAAAGGGACTCTTCTCCAAGGATAGCTCCGAGGACATGGCGGCCGCGGCTCTCAAGGAGAAATCGTCTCTTAGCAGCCTGGAGCGCTTTGCTGATGTGGAGGGTGACAAGCGCGCGCAGTCCCCCTGGGGCGAGCCTGTCAAGACCCGCACTGGTCGCAGTGAGACGAACCCATTCCAGGAGGAGCTTCGCAGTGGCAGCGCGGCGCTTGGGGGCTCTCAAGAGATCAATCCCCAGCCCCAGCCCCCGTCCGACCATCTGGGCTTTGCAGCGTTTGGCATGACCTCCAGCATCCCCGGGTTCCGGGAACTGATGCAGAGCCACGAAAATTCCCGGAACCCCACCCCGAGTCTTCTGCAAGGACACGAACCTACTAGCCCGACCAATACGAACCCCTACCAGAGCCCCCATGGCGACCGACACGAGGTGGATGATGTCGAAACCGACGGATCCGATATTCAAAACACCACCCACCCCGGTATCACTGGCCTGCGGGATACCTCCTCCGCTTTCGGCTCCATCCGACGTGTCGGCTCGGGCATGGACTTGCCGTCCATTGACCGCAGCCAAACATCGAGTGCAGCTGGAAACCGCAGCTTTTCAAGCTTGGGCGGCCTAGGTGGTCTTCCCCCCATTGGCGGCGCTGCTGGATGGCCTACGAGCGCTGCCGTTGGCACCCCCACGCGCGAGCGCTCGGCGTTTGCGGGCGGCTTCGGTGACCCGATCTTCGGGACCATGGGCGACCTGCAGTCTCCAAGCTTGTCGACGCTGGGAGGAAGCGGCTTGTTCAGCCCCCATGCCGGGATCACTGGAACGGGCAGCCTTGGTCGCTCTAGCAAGCTAGGCTCGCTCTTCCCTCCTGCCATGCAGGAGCAGATGCAGGGTGACCAGATCCGGCCCGATCTCGGGGCTTTGGACGAGGCTGCTCGGCAATCTGGGGAGATCTTCGACGGACTTTTGGCGGATCAGGGCCCACTGACGCACGGAGCAGAACTACAGCCTCACGATAAGACTGTGCAGGGCGGCCAGCCAGTCACCACTTCGACCTCTCAGACTCCTGTGTCTGCCGTCGGCTCCGGTCCTGGCTCCATGGTTCCTGATGCGCCGCAACCCAGCCAGACCCCCGGAAATTCTGGGTCTGTTCCCCCGGCGCAGCAACGGACCATGGTGATGCCTGACCGCATGCGCTGGATCTACCGTGACCCGCAGGGTAACATCCAAGGCCCATGGACTGGACTGGAGATGCATGACTGGTTCAAGGCCGGATTCTTCAGCCCCGATCTGCAGATCAAGAAGCTCGAGGATCCTGAATTCGAGCCGTTGGCCCAGCTGGTTCGTCGCATCGGCAACTCTCGCGAACCGTTCTTGGTGCCTCAAATCGGCATTCCTCACGGCCCTGACCCTGCCCCCGGACCTTGGACTGGCAACACGAGTGGCACGGCTCAGCCGCCCTTCCCTGGCAGCTTCCCCAGCTTCGGCACCACCCTGACCGCCGAGCAGCAGAACGCTTTGGAACGTCGCAAGCAGGAGGAGCAGTACCTGATGGCGCGTCAGAAAGAACACCTGGCTCAGCAGCAGGCTCTGATGAAGCAGATGCAATTCCAGGGCGTTCCCCACTCCATTCACCCGCATCAGCTTCAGCACCATTCCAGTGCTCATAGCCTCCACAGCCAACCCAGCTTTGGTAGCATCGCTTCTCCGGTTGGCTTCCAGCCCTCCCCGATCCAGGCGCCGATGCAGCAGCAGCAGCAGCAGCAGTCCCAGCAGCAACCTCCGTCCGTTGCCGGCTTCTTTGATGCGGCTGCCGCCATGCGAGGCAACCCTCTGCCCCCCGTGGGTCCTCAGATGCTAGGCACGGATCTGGGTCAGGATCAAATTCCTACTCTTCTGGACCGCTTGAACATTAGTCGGCCGGATCCGTTTGCCTTTGGTACCCCCGGCTCTTTCGCTGCTCGCCAACCGGACAGCCTGTTCCACCAGCAGCAGGTAGCTTCGATGCTCCAAGATCGGGCCCGTCTGCAGCAGGAGCAGGAGCAGTTTGATAGTACCCAGGGCGATTCTCTCTTCGACCAACAGGCACGTGAGGAGCGCCTTCTTCAGTTCCATGCCTTGAGGGCACAGGAAGCCGAACTCGGTATGCAGACTGTCGAGGGTCTTCCCACGCACCCGGCCGAGTCCGTCCAATCTCAGATTCCCGAGGAGAGTACTGAGTTTGATACCGTTGAAGCCGCCCCCCAGGAGCCCCCTCTCACTTTGTCGCAGCAAGTCCAGAAGGCTGCTACTGCTCAACGTCAGCAGCTGGAGCAACAGGAACAGCAGGAACAGCAGCAACGCGAGCAGCAGCAACTGGAGCAGCCACAGGCGGGCTCCGTCACCGAGGCCGCTTGGATGAGCAAGGGCGATAGCGCCATGCCCCAGCCCTTCCCTCCCCCGCCTTCTGCCTCGCCTCTGCCGGCTCCTGCAGCTCAGCGCAACCGCCAGAACGTGGCCGAATCTCTGGCTGCCAACTCTCGCTCCCAGACGCAGACCCCGGTCGAGGCGCCCACCACTTCCATTGCGCCGTGGGCCAAGGAAGCCAACGAGGTCCCCAAGGGTCCTTCTCTGAAGGAGATCCAGGAGGCTGAAGCTCGGAACGCCGCCCAGAAGGAGGAGATCGCCGCCGCCGCTCGTCGTGCTCAGATGCTTGCGGAGCAGGAGCGCCTCAGCCAGGCGGCTCAGGTGCAAGCGCCTGGCCTGCCGTCGACTGCCAACTGGGCGAGCGCCGGATCTCCGTCCACCCCGACATCCTCCGGTTCCGTCTGGAACCAGAAGGGCCCCACCGCGCCATCGGCTGCTGCCAAGAAGACGTTGGCTCAGATCCAGAAGGAAGAAGAGGCTCGTAAGCAGCGTCTTGCCGCTGCGGCCGCTGCGGCGCAGAGTGCTGCTGCCAGCCCCCCTACTGCTCCTGCGTCTACTGGTAAGCGGTACGCCGATCTGGCCAGCAAGGCTCCCGCGCCGTCTCCTGTGAATACGGCTGCCTCGACGGGCGCATGGACCACCGTCGGTGCCGGCGGCAAGGCCAAGGCTCCTCCTGCTGCTCCCTCAGGACCGCGCGCGACTACTGCTGTTGTGCCGGTGGCCGTTTCGCCGGTGAAGCCGAAGCCCGCCACGGTTGCCACTCCGCGCACTGTCTCGGTGGGCCCTGCCCCGGCCACCAACCCTAACCGGGCGGTTGAAGAGTTCACCAAGTGGGCCAAGTTGGCGCTGGGCAAGGGCCTGAACAGCAACATTAATGGTAAGTTTTCCCGGAAGGGTGGTGTCGAACTCGAGCTAATTGCGTCGATGTAGTGGACGACTTTGTCCAGCAGCTGCTGTTCCTGCCGGCGGAGGCGGAGATCATCTCGGATTCGGTGTATGCCAACTCGCAGACGCTGGATGGCCGGCGGTTCGCGGAGGAGTTCATCCGGCGGCGCAAGCTGGCGGACAAGGGGATTGTGGACCCGGTGGCGGCGAGTGCGTTTGCGGAGCAGAAGAACGCGGGCGGGTGGAGCGAGGTGGCCAAGAAGGGGTCGTCGAATGCGCACCGGGAGGAGGATGCCAGCAATGCGGCGTTCAAGGTGGTTGCTCCGCGGAAGAAGGGCAAGCGGTAGTTTAGTCTGGTGTATCTTCTCAGGATCTATACCGCATAGTATGTAGATCGATCGGCAACTTATCTACTCAGTATCAATCATAATCATGTGACAGGATCCGCCCACGCCCTTCGATAACATGTGCCCCTCTCTGCGTCATTGATGCTGGGTAGTCAGGAAGGTAGTATAAATCCCTCTGAACATATCCTTGGGTACAGCACACTTCTTCCTCGTACCTCCCCGCCCAATACCCTCACCCAACCAGCAAACCCCTCTGGGAAGAATGGCTGCCACACCCTTCGGCGCCCCAATGCGCCAACACTTCCTCCTCGACCCGAGCTATCGCAACCTCAACCACGGTCAATCCACCTATCTATCTATCTACTATCACCACCACCACCACCACTAACACAAGAGAATCCCAGGCTCCTTCGGCACCCCCCCGTCCCCCGTCCTCACCACCCAACAGACCCTCCAGCGCCTCGCCGAATCCGCCCCCGACGAATTCCTCCGCTACACGCAACCCACCGCCCTGCGCACCGCGCGCCACGCCCTCGCCCGTCTCCTCCACTGTCCCCCGCAGGACCTCGTGACCGTCAAAAACGCCACCACGGGCGTCGCCACCGTGCTGCACAACCTGGCCCCCCATTTTGCCCCGGGCGACACGCTCCTCTACTTCTCGACCATCTACGGCGCCGTCGAGAACGGGCTGTTCGCGCTGCGCGACCACCTCCCGGCCACGCACCTGCGGCTGCGGAAGATCCCGTATGCGTTTCCGATCTCCCCGCCCGAGCTGGTGCAGCGGTTCCGGGAGACGATCCGGGCGGTGCGGGCGGAGGGGGCCACGCCGCGGATCGCGGTGCTGGAGACGGTGGTCAGTCTGCCGGGCGTCCGGTTTCCGTTCGAGTGGCTGGTGCGGGTGTGTCGGGAGGAGGGGGTGTGGAGTCTGGTGGATGCGGCGCATGGGGTGGGGATGATTCCTCTGGATTTGGGGGTGGCGTTTACGGGGGAGGATCCGGGGGAGGGGGAGGGGGAGGATGAATGGATGGGCAAGGTCGGGGGCGTGGACTTTCTCACGAGTAATCTGCATAAGTACGTCTTTCCCCCTCCCGATTCCCGTGGTGGGAGGGCAGGCAGAGCAGGCAGCGCTAGCAGCGCTCCCCACCACTCCTTACCCCCAATCCAACGAGAGGAGATGGATGAGAGAGGAGGGTACTAGGTACTCAGGTATGCTATGCTATGCTAACAGCCAGAACAGATGGCTCTACACCCCGCGCAGCGCGGCCATCCTCTACGTCAGCCCGGCCCGGCAACCGCTCATGCGCACCACCCTCCCCACCTCCTGGGGCTACATCCCGGCGCCGGCGGAAACGCCCCCGAGACCGTCGGTGATGGCCACGCCCGGCGCGGACCAGACGGCGTTCGAGGCGCTGTTCGAGTTCGTCGCCACCGCCGACGACACGCCGTACCTCTGCGCGCCGGCGGCGCTGCAGTTCCGGGCCGCGGTGTGCGGCGGCGAGCGCGCGATCTACGCCTACCTCGAGGCGCTGGCGAACGCGGGCGCGGATCTGGTGGCGCGCGGGCTGGGGACGGAGGTGTTGGGGGATTCTCCTGGCCCGCAAAGGAGCGCGTGGAGGCGGTGTGCGATGAATAATGTGCGGTTGCCGGTGAGGGTGGTGCAGGGCCCGGAAGGAGGGGAAGGGAACAAGGCAGGGCTGCGGGCGGAGATGGTCCCCGTCGTGGTGGATTGGATGCAGAGGAGGCTCGTCGAGGAGTACCGCACGTTCGTGCCGGTCTTTGCCCATGCCGGGTGGTTGTGGGTGCGGCTGTCGGCGCAGGTCTACCTCGACCGCAGCGATTTCGAGTGGTTGGTCCCCGTGCTGAAGGAGTTGGTCGGTCGTGTCACGGAGGAGTTTAAGCTGGGGAAGGTGTCGCCGCACCTGTAGCGGCAGATGCACGAGACACACCTACGTAGACTAAGCTCAGACGCGGTAGCTATCCACCAACAAATTCTGCAATGATATACAACTACGCGAATATATGCAGGCCGTAGGAACAGCATCACAGCAAAGACAATCAAGTACCAGCGAAATATACGCACAACCTAAACCACCCTCACGTCTCAATCAGATCCGCAGCCTCGCCCTGGGTCTGCTCCGCCACGCTGTTGTCTCGCGTGTCCTTGTTGGCGATCTTCCGCGCAGACCGCGCGTAGAACTCATCCAGCACGCGCTTGGGGATCCGGTTGAGCAGGTCCTTGGGGTAGATCCGCAGCAGGTTCCACGCGATGTCCAGCGACTCGAAGATCGTGCGCGACTCGTACGGCGACTGGCTGATGAAGGTCCGCTCGAACTTGTCGAGGAACTCCAGCGACAGCTTGTCCTCGGAGGAGAGCGCCTCCTCACCGACGACAGCCTTCATGGCGGCTAGACAGGGAGACTTAGTCATGGACACACCGCAACACAGCACAGAAACTTACCAGCATCACGACCGATGGCGTACTTGGCGTACAGCTGGTTGGACACATCCGAGTGATCCTTCCGGGAACGGCCCTCGCCAATAGCCGACTTCATCAGACGGGACAGCGATGGCAGCACGTTGATGGGCGGGTAGACACCCTTGTTGTACAGTTGACGGTCAATGAAGATCTGGCCCTCCGTAATGTAACCGGTCAAATCGGGGATGGGGTGAGTGATATCTGCAATCCATCAGCATGGTCCATCTGCATATGCACCACCAGATAAGCAACCGACCGTCGTTAGGCATCGTCAAGATAGGAATCTGCGTGATAGATCCGTTACGGCCCTCCACACGACCAGCACGCTCGTACAGGGTCGACAAGTCCGTGTACATGTAACCGGGGTAACCACGACGACCCGGAACTTCTTCACGAGCAGCCGAGACCTCACGCAGAGCGTCACAGTAGGCAGACAGATCAGTCATGATGACCAGGACGTGCTTCTCCAGCTGGTAGGCGTAGTACTCGGCCGTGGTCAGCGCCAGACGAGGGGTGATGATACGTTCAATCCTGGACGCTGCTTGTCAGTACCGCACGCATACCCACAACAAAACCGATCACATACGTAGGGTCGTTGGCCAAGTTCAGGAAGAGTGTCACGCGCTCCATACTGCCGTTCTCCTCGAAGTCGCGGGTGAAGAAGCGGGCCGTCTCCATGTTCACACCCATGGCGGCGAAGACGATGGAGAAGTTCTCCTCGTGTCCGTCGTGGACGTCCTTGGTGGGGCGCTTCACCAGACCGGCCTGACGACAGATCTGGGCGGCGATTTCGTTGTGTGGCAGACCGGCGGCGGAGAAGATGGGGATCTTCTGGCCACGGGCGATGGAGTTCATCGTGTCGATAGCGGAGATACCAGTGGAGATCATTTCTTCGGGGTAGACCTGCAGAGCATCGGACGCATTAGCCACCCGGGGGGTGTATGTCGCGGGACAAGGGCGAGGCTCATACTCGGGAGTAAGGGTTGATAGGTTGGCCGTTGATGTCCAGGTAGTCCTCCGCCAGCACCTTGGGGCCCTTGTCAATCGCGCGACCGGAACCATCGAACACACGACCCAGCATGTCTTCGGAGACACCGAGCTTCAAGCTGTGACCGGTGAACTCGACTTTCGTCTGAGGCAAGTCAGTATGGCGGTGGAGTCAGACGGTAGCTGAATGACGGCGAAGTACCTTCTTAACGTCGATACCAGAAGTGCCTTCGAACACCTAGTATGACCGCATTTCCATGTCAATATTCCGTCCGATACATCCCCCTCCCATTCTCTACACTCCAAAGGTCCGCACCTGAACGACTGCTCGGTTTCCTACAGTGAAGGCATTATAAATCAGCGGATCTGATCTCTATCTCATTCATTCATCCACACCTCACATACCTCGAGCTTCCAGAACCTGACCCGACCGCTCGGTCCCATCGGGGAGGGTCAAAGACACGATCTCATTGTAACGGGGGAATTTGACCTAAACCATCGCTGATCAGCTGTAATCCCATCTCCCGATAGACTTGGGGTCGGCCAGATGACGTGCCGATGGAGACGGGCTCGTACATTATCCAGAACGACCAGCGGTCCGTTGATACCTCCAATGGTGTTGTAGCGGATGCGAGGCTTGACGCTGGTCATCCGAGGGTCGACGAAATCGGCCATGGTCGAAGAGTCCACCACAAGGTGCTATGAAACCAGAGACGATAGACCAAGAAAAGAGGGAGGGGGGAAAGTGGGAGAATGCGGACGAGGGGGCGGAACTGAGGGGAGAGGAACAGCTCCTGGTGGTGGTGGTGGTGGTGGTCGGGAGTGTCGACGTATGCTTAGGCTGGAGCCCGTCAGTTTGGCTGGTTTGCCCCGTTTGGCTCCACGTCCGCTGGGGGGCGGTGTGGAACCTCCTTCCCACGTGATGCCCTCGCCTACGATCTATAAGTCACTTGCTCTTTATACAGAAAGTCGGGCTGATGCCAAATTACGATCAAGAATACGATAATCAGTCATGTTCTGCAGAAATATGGCGAAAGTAGTCACTCATACATCCCACAAAGCCATCTGCGGCCGCCGTAAAATGTCACCATCCGTGCTAGGCTTCTCAATCAAAGGGGAGAAAAAAAAAAAAAAAAAAAAAAAGAACGCCAAGCGAAATGAAATCATCAGATCAGCTCGTCATGAATGTCATACTGATACAGCTGGAGAAAGGAAAAGCATCCACGAGAAAAGCAGGCTAGAATCGTGAGATAGAGACGCCAAACCGCCGTCAAACCGTCATGGTATCGTGTGCAAAAACAAAGAACGGAGAAAGCAGAGGGAGAAAATGTCAAATTGCAGTCATTCAGTCCACTTTGGCCAACGCTAGCTTCTTGGGCGTCGTTAGATTGTTGGAGAGACGGACGTTCATCTTTTTGTTCTTGGTTTGTTTCTTCAGTTTCTTGCGGGCCACCATCACCGGTACGGATGAGTGCATGACCAGGTAATTCGAAAATGATCCGAGGACCACCCTGTGGTGAACAGTCTTGTTAGTTTGTAGTCCACGCAGGTCAATCGCAGAGTTCTTACCCCTTGAGTGCACTCCGTCCTCTGGCCCCAACAATTACCAGCGTAGGATCCAATCCATCGATCTGGAAACTCGGTCAGCAACTGCGTAAACGGAGCAAGGTCAAGCTTGACTTACAGCTTCGGTGATCATGTGCTTCGGGCTCTTGCAATGAATCACCTCAACCGCCACGCGCACCTGCAGTAGCGTCTTTCGCAAGAGACGCACGCACGTCTGCGAAATGACCTCCACCGCCCGCACGCGCTCGGATTCCGCTTTGGACATGCCTCGTGCATCGACCGAGCCCGGTTTGCTGTCCGTGCCGGTCCCCAGGCGGTTGAAGAAGGTCCGAGGTAGGTGCGAGCTGGAGTCATTCTGGGATTTCGCCGCCGTCTCGGCCGTCTGCGAGCCGACCACCGCGGCAGCATCCTGCATGGCTTTGGCTCCATCCCCAATCTGCACGGCTGCCGGAGTAGCGGTCTCGTCATGCATGGCACAGACCGCAAACATCGTATCGCCATCCCGCAGAATGGTACCAATCGTCCATTCCAGAGCATACACCGATTCCTCACTGAGATCCGTCGTCACTAGATACTTGCGCTGGCGGCGACGAGCGCCTTCCTCTTCGCGTATGCTGGGATAGTCGCCGCGGATAATCGTCCGGATTGATCGGTTGTGCACCGAACTATCGATCGCAGACATTTCAATGCTGAGTTTTTGAGCGCGTTTGATGTCGCACAACTCGGCCTCGTCCTCGGAGCCGAAGGGGGTGTTTGTCGCTGAGGCGGAGTCGTAGCTCGTTCGGGGGCGGACATCAGGCTTCGAGACGGGGCCTGTCTTGGCTGAATGAATCAACTCAGACTTGCCGGTGGAGTTGTTACTGGGTTCTGCAGCTCGCAATCAGTCAGTATTGTGCAGCGAACAACGAGACGAGAACGTACGAAATGCTGGAGCCGTCTTTGTTGTCGTGCGCGGAGCGATCCGGGCAGGTTCATGGTCGACCGTCTCTTTCCGCCCTCGTTTGTTCTCTTCCGACTCGCGATCCGGGCTCTCATCATCGCTGGAAGACAATTCGTCACCGTCCTCATCACTAGTCTCGATCGGATTGTTCTCGCTATCGTAGTGGTCCTTTTCGAGCCGCTGCTCTCCGGGCGCTGAGGAATTAGCATCCGCCTCCCGAGGGGATTGAGGAGCTGGTGGAGGCTGGACCGTTGGCTGGGATGTTGCTGGAGGGGTCGGAGGAGGAGAGACCTTCGGGACGCTCTCAATCGCCACGCTCTCTTTTGGCTTCTCGTTGGGGATCGCTTTCAGCAGTTCTTTAGTGCTTTCTGTAGGCTTCTTCTCTGCCTGTTTCTCCTTAGGTGGCTCTTTACTCTCTTTCAACTTTTCCATCGGGTTCTCATTTGGGCTCTCCTTCGGGCTTTCAAGTATAGGCTTCGCCGCATCGACCGACTGATTACGTGAACCGGGGCTCAGCCAGCGACGCTTTGGCGAACTGGAGCGGGTCGAGCGGAGCGCCGGAGCTCGCGAGTCAAGCGAGTTGCCTCGTGATGAGGAACTGCGGCCAGAGTCCCGACCTCTGACAAAGCTCGGGAACCCAACCTTGATGTCGAGGCCTGACATCACGGCGGCCATGCTTGGCAGACGATTCGAGGAGGAAGCCGCCGGGGCCTTCTCCTGAGATTGGCTGGCACGACGGGCGCTGGGAGGCATATCGAGAGAGGAATCCCAGCGAATGCTAGGGCCTGATTTGTGCGTGGTTGTGGTTGCGGCTTGGGGACCTCCGGACTTGTCGCCGCCGTCGGACTGAACGGAGGATTTCCTTGGTGCCGGTGGTAACGGAGGAGCCACCAAAGAAGTGGTCCTGGGCGGCGGAGGGGAGGTTGCGGTCGTCGTGGTGGTCGTAGGTGATGTCGAGGGCGAAGGGGACGAGGAGGGAGGATGGGGAGGAGGTTTAGTGGAAGTGGTGGGAGATGGTGCAGAGGAAGTGGTGGGGGTCGAGGAGCGGCGGGGAGCAGACGATGTAGTGGTGGTAGTATTGGCAGCGGGATAAGAATTGTAGTGATGGTGATAATTGCGGCCCGAGGGGGAAGTCACGCCCACTCCAATCCCGGCGATGGAGCCATGCCGGGGAGGGACAAAGCCTGGACTGGGCGCGATGTCCAGCATGCTCCGGCGCGGGTACCAGGAGGAGGAATTAGTGTGGTTGCCTTCGCCCGACTCCCGCAGTAACTCCCGTCGTTCTTCCTCCAGTGCGGTCTCTAACGAGATGGGCGCGGGTTTTCTACTGTAGTACGGCATGGTGACGGCGGGTGAGCACGAGTGCACCGGATTCACCCGGTCCTTTCCTTGTGATTTTTCTAATCAGTTCTTATTAAAGTGTCTGTCTGTCTGTGGGACTATTATCTGGCAGCAATAATAATCAGTTAACTGATGGAACCAGCCAAAAACGGAGGGGGGGAGAGACACACGACTAATCCGTAACGGGCTTCGGAATGTGGAGTTGGAGCGACGATCACCGGCCGAATGAGCGGCGCCAAATCCAGGTAAGGGGCGGCAAGTCACTTCCCAAATCCCCAGATTTCGCTTTCAGCTTTCCCCGTGATCGGTGAGACAAGAGCTTGTGCCAGCTGTGGCAACAGCACACCAACAGTAACAGCAGGCAGCAAAGCAGCAACTCTGTCCTCTTTCACTCTGCGGCCCGTGATGCGGAAGTACAACAACCACAACACCACCACCACAGACAAGGGAAACGGCACGAATTATAGATTAAGCGGGCGGGCCTAGGAGATCCCCACGTGCAACAAACGGCTGCAACTGCCGGCGATCGAATCGGTCGCGACCAGCCGCGGCCCAGGTTCTGGCTGAAGGGCCCTTCTTTGTTACAGGTCGCGGTGGACGTATCACAAACAAAAGCAACCAAAGGGCGTCGGAGTCGGGCGCGTTCAGGGGGTCTCCCCACGGAAAGGCGAAGTAAGTAGAAAGTGGAAGTGGAAGTAGAAGTGGAAGAGGGGAACGGGAACGGGAACAATAAAGAAGAAGACGAAGAGGAGAAGACGATGGATGAATGGTAATAGTCGAGCACAGTCCACTCTGCCAAGTCAATCACAGGGAAAAAGGAATCGAGGAATGACTTGACAAGTTGACAATTAGTCCCAGATCGACTGGGGATTCGAGGGAGCTTAAGAGGACAAGACGTGAGCAAAAAAGCTCGGCCAACGAAATCTGCAGCTGAGCTCGTCAGAAAAAGCTCGGCATGGCGGGGTATCACCAACAAAAGTCACAGGAATTATGGAGATTGGGGGAGGGGGTTGAGGAGGAGGGAAGAGAGAGGAGAGCAGAGGAGAGGAGAGGGCGAGGAGAAAATAGGCTGATCAATTTACCTCATACTCATAACTCAGTAACTCGATTCACACACCAGATAGACCTATCCCTTGCATGACTGCGACTGCTTGACTGACTGACTGACTGACTGTGCCGTGCATCGTACTTCATACCTACCTAATACTTAACTCATACTACTACAGACTACAGACCACAGACTAGAGACTACCTATTCCTCCTCCTCCTCCTCCTCCTCCTCCTCCTCTTCATCAGGAAAGAGTTGCAACTTGCAAGTGTCACCGCAGCCCTCTTGCGAAACTCGAACCTGGAATGTGCATTGCATGCAGGCGACCGAACTGCTTATTTGTGCTTGACTTGATCAGAGCTCGAACCAAGGATCCCACCCAACCCATCAATCAGTCAAGTCGTTCATCACATTCCATCCCCCCGCCCTCCCAGCTGAGTTGGTCGAACGATCGTCGTCGCAGCGTCAGTGTCATCTCATGAGTCAATCTTTTTCCATTTTCGACCCCATTACAGCCTTCGTCCCTGATGTTACATTCGGTGTCATTCCAAATGATAAAAAAGCATTAATACATGCATGATGGCGAAAGGGAAAAAAAAGCAAAAAAGAAAACAAAAAAGAAATAGAAACGCAACACAACACAACAAAACCGGCAAATAGCTGCCATCCCCCGAAATGGATGATGCATGCTCGTCGCTCGACATATCAATAAAACAGACTCGACAGACCCAACGCCCATTTTTCGCCAGTGTATCAGACGCGATATATGCAACTTCCAACTCCCCAACCCGATTTGAACATGCTGCAGCAGAGTTAAAAAAAAAAAAAAAAAAAAACTAGAGACCCGACCGCTTCCCCTCCTTCCGTCTAGGCATCTGTTTTTCTCTTCTTCTTGGCTGTCTTTCGCGCTGCAGTAGCTGCAAAGGCCTCCTCCGGGGGTTCATCCATCTTGGCCGCGCGCTTTCGACCGGGCTGCCCGTACTGCTGCTCCAATCGATCGAAGAAGGCCTCCCCGCGCGTGGCCTGCCGTTGCTGGATCAACTTCAACAGCTCGTTGTCCCCATCGTTTTTGTTTTTGGTGGACTTCTTGCCGCCCCTGCCGGTTTTGATCGATTGCTTCTCCTCGACCTCCGCCGCCAACGCCTCCGCCTCCTTGGCCTCCTTCTGGGCGCGTTTCAGCCGCCGCTCGCGCTTCTTCGCTGGCTCCTCCACGTAGCTCTTGTGTTTCTTCGCGCGACCCTCCGCGAGGGCCCGGTCGATGATGGCCCGGAAGCGCTCGTCGTCGTCCAGGACATTGCAGAGCAGCACCGACTCGTAGACCTTATCCAAGTCCCCGCGGTAAGTCTCATACGCCGCCAGCACGTCGCGCTCCTCCTCCGCCGAGCCCTGATACTCCTGCTTCAGCTTGTCGATGGCGCTGGTGTCGATGGCACTGGAGAACTGCTCGCGGTAGAAATCCGCCCAGTTGAAATCCTCGTCGACGTCGACCGCCTCGCTGGTGCTGCCGGTCAGGTCGTATCGCTCGCGACGCTTCGCATCGGAGAGGATGGCGTAGGCGAACGCGATCTGCTGGAACTTCTTGTTTGCTGCATCGCGCTCGTCGGCTGGGACCTTGTCTGCGGCAGTGGAAGAGGTTCGGTTAGAATCGGGCATGACGCTTGCTATTACTCTCCGTTTAGATGACTGGACATTTCCAAACATACCAGGATGGTGCTTGAGTGCCTGTTTCCGATAGGCCGACTTGATCTGGTCTGCGGTAGCATCGCTCGAGACAACCAAAATCTCGTACAGGTCGGTCTCTGGGCTGGGAGGCTCGGGCGACTCGCTTCGCGCCTGAGATTTGCTCTTGCGAGGCATTCTGAAGGTTTCCAGCCTAGCCTAAATCCACTGCAGGTTCGAAAGGAGCGAAAGCAACGAGGAACGTCAATGTGAGTTGCCAAAAGAAAAAGTAAGGTGAGAGAAACGATTCAGTCAGACGCGCCACGCGGACGCGAATCTTGGTCGGAAACCATTAATTATCAACATCGGGAAGGCGGTGAGTTCCGGCTGTAGGCAGAAGTAGGCCTGACCGCCTTTATCGATAAGAAATGAAGAACCCCCAACTCAATCAGGTTTAGAGCTTCCCCCGCGCCCGCGCTGATGCGGTCATCCACAGCTACGGTAGCTCGAGCTTGAGCTTCAATCCATCCATCCATCACCCCGCCCAGCAAACGAAACCATAGCCACCACCGAACACCAAACCACACCACCACCAACCACCACTCTCAAAAAGACCAACCCTCACACCACATCATCCCACCAAACAAAAAAAAAAGAAAATGCCCTCCCCCCATCTCAAATACATGCGCACCTGCCTGGCGCTCGCCGAGAAATCGCCCGCGCGACCGACCAACTTCCGGGTGGGCGCGTTGCTCCTCTCGCGGTACGACGACGACGCCACGCTGGAGCAGGAAGACCGGGTGCTGGCGACGGGCTACACGATGGAGCGGGACGGCAACACGCACGCCGAGCAGTGCTGTCTGGCCAACTACGCCGCCACTAAAAGCGTGCCCGCCGACCAGGTGGCCGCCGTGCTGCCGGACGAGCCGGGTCGGAAGCTGGTCATGTACGTCACGATGGAGCCGTGCGGGCGCCGGCTTTCAGGGAATGTGCCGTGCGTGGAGCGGATTATTCGGACTCGGACTCAGGCGGGAGGGGTAGGGGAAGGGGGCCAGGGGAGGGGGATCCAGAAGGTGTATTTCGGGGTGAAGGAGCCGGGGACGTTTGTGGGGCAGTCGGAGGGGTGTCGGCGGCTGACGGCGGCGGGGATCGAGTGGGAGGTGGTGCAGGGGCTGGAGAGGGAGATTTTGACGGTGGCGACGGCGGGGCATGAGGATCGCGAGGAGGAGGTGCGGGCGGCGATGGAGTCGGTTGAGACGAATATTGATGATATTAGTGCCGAGGAGCGGAGGCGGCAGGCGCAGGTGCCGCGGAATCCGAAGAAGAGGGTTATGGAGGTGGATTTGATGGGGTGATTGATTTGCTGGCGGTTTGGGGGGTGGCTGTAGATGGATTGAGATAATTTGTATATATATGTGGATTGCTACGATGGTTGTCTCTGACATCTATCTCTGCAGTACATCTTAAGCCGCTCAATGTTTACTATAGATGCGCTTCACTAGGAAGTTGAAAGAAAGGGGGGTCCGGGGGTTCTCCCCCGGGACGGCATATTTCCCCAGTACTCAGAATTGAAGTTACTGGGAAATTGAAAAGAAGGGGGGTATTGTACCTGAGCACTGGGTAAGGTTGGCAAGCTCTTTTAATGTTAAATCAACGACTTATGCGACCCAGTAAAGAGCCAAGACTAGGGCTATCTCTAACGCGGTGATATCTATGCTACCTCTAGTGACTCCTCCCCCACAGCACCAGAAATGCCCATCAGCTATGTCCATCCAAGAGCCGTGCAATATCGACATCCCGTAACAGATCCTCGTGCTCTTTTCTCAAATCCGCAGGCTTGTTCTCCTCAAACCGGAACGCCCACGTGCTCCGCGTATTGATCTCGAGGTTATCCCGACTCGACTTCAGCCCGACATGCTGCAGCTGCTGCGGCGCGAGAGCATACCGGGTCAGACTCTTTGCATCTGCATACTCTTCGATGATCGAGTCCGTCTGCCCGGCCTTCACCTCGGTCAGATGGGCGATCAACGCGTCGACCTGGTCGCGAGGGAACACCAACCCCTGGGTACAGCAGCCGTGGGCGTTCATCTCCACCACGCCGCTCAGGGGCATCGGACTGTACTTGCCGACCATGAAGACCAGTCCAATTAGAGCCGGGAGCTAACGAAGGAGATGACGCCGACGGACGGATAATCGAGGTAGGCGTGACTGGACGAATAGGCGCGGCGGACGGCCATGAGCGCGGCGAGCAGTGACAACGATGCCCCGATGAAGATCCAGCCCATGTTGCGGTAGGCAAAGTCCGCAGAGGTCCAACTCAGCGCGGTCTCCGTGAAGAAGAGCCGGAGATAGACCCAGGGGTGGTTGTTATCGACGTGTTTGGGCGTCTGGATGCGAGCGATGTCGGACACACCCTCAAGCGTCTTGGCCGTCCAGCCGTCGGCGACGATGCTGTCGTCTTCGAACATCGCGAGGTAGGTTGCGTTAGTGGCCATGCAGGCCTTCAGCGCGTGGATATAGTCATTGAGATGGAAACAGATTGTCAGAGGCTTGCTCATCGGCATGCTCCGAGTCGCAGGGGAAGGTTGATGACTAGGCAAGAAACAAGCAACTCACAACACTCCCTTTTCATAGAAGTTCCGCGCCTTTTCCAAGTCCTGCAGGTGATGGAACTGATCCATGGAGATGTTCTGGTATGATCCAACGTGATCCGCTAATCGATGCACCCAGTTCTGTCCCCAGCTCGGATGCTGGCTGGGATCTGTGTCCACGAAGATGACGTTGAGGAAGAGAGCACGGCGCTCCAGCGGAGTCAATCCCTCGAGCAGAGACCCCACCGAGGCTTCGAGGTAATTCTCCTCCTCGCGCCTCACGGTCAGAAAAGCTGCGCAGATCAGCGGGTTCGACCCTGCTCCCGTGTAGGAGGAGGAGTTCTCTGCAAGGGTGTTGTGGTTGGTGATCAGGCGCCGGCCCTCGCGTTCCCGGTAGAGACTGTATCTCCATTCGTAGACATAGCGGTCATTGAAGAAGGCCGAATGAGGGTCTCGCCAGAATCGAAGTCGACAGAAGGTGTACGCAATTAACCAGAGGAGTGCGCTGGTGAGGAAGACTTTAATGGCGTTGGTTCGCCGTAGTTTGCGAAGTGAGAGGGACTTCAGGGCGAGTGGGAGGGTGGGCATGGTTGGTGAGCGGCCAAGCTGCGGCCTGATGTTGACACAGAAGAGAGAAGAAAGAACTCATGGTAGGCACCCATGGTAAGTACGAGACTAGTTCTGACTGTCTGCCTAGGGAGTGTTTAGGCTGTAATTCGTATAGACTTGCATAGTAATGACCAGGGTTTATGATTGCTTCTCCACAGGTTTAGCACCGCACCAGAACAACCTTTTAGTATTGCTGCTTGATGCGAGTAGGTACCATTGACTAGGCGTACAGCAAGTGTCAGCGACCATTGCCTTTCAATGAATGAGACAGGTGACAGAGTCCAAGTGTGACACAGCGAGCAATGGGATGAGTGCTCATGAGAGTGTCCAAGACGCCGAAGGTGTTTAGTCTGGGATCCCATTCACTACACTGACTTGGCAGATCCACTGCGACTTTTGGTCGGGCTGGGAAATGCAAAGTCTTTGTACATGTCTGTCTAGGCAGATTTGGTGATTTACACATCTCCAGGCTTGTTATCTTGCCATCTGGCAAACCATGCATTCGAAGTAATGCTACCCACGCTACCCAGTCCAGAAGCTGCCAGGAGATTGTGGTCATGACACCCAATATTTGCCGTGGGATATGGCTCGTTTGCTCGCATTGCTTTCTCAACTTCAGTTCATGCTCTGAGACAGTGTGAGGCGCCATCTCCAGGGTCCAGAAGATTACTGGCTCTCCCCACAGACTATTGCATCCGACCCTGCACTAAGAGTGACACGATGTGTGTGCAGCCCTATAAGAACTGCTATAGATCCCTGACCAGACCTCAAGCGCGTCCACCCCTGCCAGCACAGTTGATAGTGGCCGTAGCACCTCGGCTTTAGGTAATGCAATAACACATGGAGGACGGTCCCTCGTCCTGTTCGACGGTTAAGCCTCCTGTTGCTGGATCAGAGACTTTTCCCAACACCCACTGACACTGTCCACAGGCCGACCATGCATGAATCCCAGGAACACGTTTACAGCCGGGCCATGATCTGCACCAGCCAGTCTCCAGCCTGGCACGTCTCTATGCCCGCAAGCACGATTTCCGCTTCCCTGCCCAACCGAACGGCCTCTGCTCGGGTCTCTTCACTTGCAACCGTGGTGAGGATCATCAACTCCCAGACCTTGTAATCGAACCTCCCGTCCCCGAGAAGGCCGAGGTTGGTCGCGATGCATCCGTTGAAGCAATCGTCAGGCGCCTCCGTCAAGCATATTTCTTGGGACCGGGCAAGCAGAGCTAGCAGCTCCGTTGATGCGGCATTGTCGATGGGAGCTCCCTCGTTCACTCGCCAAGAGACATCTCCTGTTCTGTGGTGGTAAGCTGAGGCATGATTATGCTTTGGATCTTTAGCTTTCTTCACTGCACTGTTGCCAGTTGGATTGCGGGGATCGCTCTCACTCACCAGTGTAGCCGCAGCGAGCGGAATTGATGTGAGGAGATATAGAAGACCCTTCATCTTGGCCGGTGAGGTTGAAGCTCGGTGGAACTTGATACGATGAAGGAATGAGGTCTGCTGCTGGGGATCATTCGCGCTTGGAAACATCGAGCAACCCCCTAAGAAAACCTCCAGGGGGCGTCGGTAGATGTTCGAACGCTCATGCTCGGTTTATATGCGAATGGTTTCCTCTGCCAAACTATTGCTGCATTGCGGCTACCGGTATATAATATTGCTTTCTCGCTGGTTATCATGCAAGGACAACGTATAGTTCAGTATGGATGGGGTAAGGATCGTCAGGGCGCTGTCTCTTGACATCGGGCGGCTGTTCATGGAGGACGATCATCAATGCCATTGTTGATCTGGGTGGAAGTTAGTTTGAGCTATGCGTGATTCGCTGGGGATAAGCAAGCTGGGAGTTTATGTTGTATATAAGTCAAGAAAAGCTAAATAAGTTGTGGAACCATTCGTAAGTAGCAGAAGGCCAGCAGATCTGTAGATGAATCGGTCGAGAGCAAGTCATGGCCTAGAGTGACAGTGTCAGTATGGCGGATGGTGCATTAACTAAAATTCATCAAGCAAGTCTAGCCCATGTCTGGTCTAAGTTGAGAGAAGAGAGGTATACTAGTATGCAGCGCGGACAGCAATCGCAATGCGATGTGTGAACTCGAAGCCGGATACGGTGCATACCAACTCCCACACCAGCTATCTAATCTGCTCTCGAATTTCCAGAATCGAAGCACTGACTGCAAACAGAGGCGACGTGGCAGCATCATCAACCCCATCATCACACGTGGAAAGGCGGAGCGTGACAGAGGAACCATCCCCAGATCGCGAAGCGACATGACGTCGTTATCGCCCATGCATTCCCCGATCGATCCAGCCAACATCCACTTCGGAATCCTTTAAATAGCTCGACTACCTGGCCCAAGTAACCTACAATCATCGCTCTACATCTCACAAACAACTCCCTACAACACCACCCCCAACTCGACAAAATGCCGTGGTCCACCGTCCTGCCACAGGCAGTCTTCACCTCGCCGATCCTCTCCGTCGCTGCCCCCATCGCCGCCGGGACCTTCATCGGCTTCCAGACCAACAGTAAGCCCTCACCAACCCACCTTCACCAACCCAACCTACCCAAACCACCCCACCCCCACAAAACTGCTCTCCAACTAACACCGTGAACACAACCAGAACAATCCCGCACCAAATCCATCTACCGCAACCTCCACAAACCTCCCCTCTACCCGCCCGCCTGGCTCTTCGGCCCCGTCTGGACCATCCTCTACGGCCTGATGGGCTTCGCCGCCCACCACGCCACCGTCACCGGCACCACCGTCTCGCCGCTTGCCTCCTCGTCCCTCCAGCAATGGACCGTCCACTCACAACACCTTTACGCCTCGCAGCTGCTGCTCAACTACCTGTGGATGCCGCTGTTCTTCGGCCTGCGCAAGCCCGCCTGGGCGCTGGCCGACATGCTGCTGCTAGCCGGCAATGTCGCCGCCCTGATGCACGCGTGGTACCGCCACGACCGCCCCGCCTTCTGGATGCTCGTGCCCTATGCCGCCTGGCTGGGGTTCGCGACCTACTTGAATGCCGGGGTGGGGGTGTTGAATCAGTGGACGATCGGGGACAAAGAGGGAGAGGGAGAGGGAGAGGCGAAGAAGGAGGAGTAATCGGCCACCTACCTACCAACTACGGGATATATAGTAATCCAATCATCCTTACTATAAACTTTTCCCGGGGGAGAACCCCCGGACCCCCCTTTCTTTCAGCTTCCCAGCAACACTCAATCCAATCCCTGTAATAAACAGTCTCCGGGGGAGAACCCCCGGACCCCCCTTTCTTTCAACTTCCCAGTAAAGCGCATCTGCGTAAGCATCACACAGCTCAGGCTGGAGATATAATAACTGATAGATACCGGGGGAGACCCCCGGACCCCCCGTGAGCGGAGAACCCGTTATCACCACGTGACACAAATCCCTCAAAACATCCCAGCCTACCAGGTATCGGCCTCATCTACAAACCCACCCCTCCCAAACCCAAAGCCTGGAATATCCCCCCCCAGTAAACCCAGAAAATGGCCCCATGGCGCCCCCCGAACCCGTCGCCCCCGAGTTCTACCCAGCCTACTGCTTCAAAGCCTCCCCGACCCACTTCACCTGGGTAAAGATGGCCGTCGCCGACGTGCTGCAGTTGACCCGCCGGGCCGAGTATCCAGGTACAGCCCCCCACCCCAACCCCCATCCACCTCCTACACAACCAATATTGACATCCCCCGCGAAAAATAAAAGAAGGAATATTCTTCCACCAAAACCACCCCATCCACTTCATCGCCGTGGCGGGCCTCATCACCGCGCGCACCGAGTACCCGCGCGTGACCGTGCTCACCCTCGACGACAGCAGCGGCGCCGTCCTCGACGTCGTCGTGCAGAAAGCCGATGCGGCCGCGGTAGGACCAGCACCAGCGCCAGCGCCAGCACCAGCAGCACCAATAGCTCCGGCTACAGCCCCAGCGGAAGCGTCCGGCCCAGCATCCACCGCCCCAGACCCAACCACCGCAAGCGCACCGCACCACATCGCCCCGACAACCGCCCTCCCGCTCGACATCCACCCCCTCGTGCCCGGCGCCCTCGCCCACCTGAAGGGCACGCTGTCGATCTACCGCCACACCAGGATACAGCTGCAGCTCGAGCGGTGCGCCCTGCTGCGCGGCGGCGGCGGCGGCGTCAACGCCGAGATGCGGTTTCTCGAGCAGCGGGATCGGTTCCGCGTCGAGGTGCTGGATGCGCCGTGGGTGCTGGCGGCGGAGGAGGTGGCGCGGCTGCGGCGCGAGGCGGATGCGGAAGAGGAGCGCGGGGAGGCGGAGGTGGCGAGGTGGAGGCGGCGGGCGAGGCGGAGGGTCGAGAGGGAGGAGCGCGACGGCCGGAAAATTTGGGAGAGGTGGGAGGTCGAGGAGGGGAGGCGGGAGAAGGAGGCGGCTGTCGTGCGGGAGGCCGGGGTGGAGTTGATGCGGCTGCTGGGGAGGAGGGGGGTGAAGAGGGGAGTGGAGTTTCACAATGGGGATGGGGCTGGGGATGGATCCAGGAACCGACAGGGGGGTTGAGTTTTTCATCTTATGTACAGTAAATATCTTTATACATGCATAGTACGTGTGTGTGTGCGTGTGTGTGTGCGTGTGTGTGTGTGTGTGTGTGTGTGTGTGTGTGTGTGTGTGTGTGTGTGTCTTTTGGGTGAGCCATGAGCTATGTGTATATTCTGAGCTAGAACCTTGATACCCGGACTTCAACAAGTGTTATTGATACAATGTTCCTAATACAAAGACTGACTCGTGGCTAAGAATGTGTCCCCTAATCCCACTGCAGAAGCGAAGGGCCAGTCGTAAACATTATCATCATGTCGTAACAAACAACAAAGCGCTATCGAAATACACACGAAAACAAAGCAAAACGCACGCACGATGGATATCTTTTCCAAAGCAGACAAACCAAAAACAACACAGTCAAAAGCTTCAAATTCACCGGTATCCATAGGTCTTGTAATCGTACCCGGTGCTGCCGGTGCTGCCGATCGGGTTGCTGCCGTAATAATCCTCGTCTGCACCCCAGCTGCTCCGCTTCTTCTCCTTGTCGCGCTCCCGGATGGCTTCGTAGAGTCTCTGATCCTCCGTCTCCGGATCAAGGTCCTTGTACCGCCGACGGTCCTCAATGATGTCTCCCGGATGCGCCGGGTTGTTCGATCGGTAGTAATACTCGCCATCACCATACCTGCTGTTTCCGCTGTGGGCCAAGAGATCACTCTCCGAGTGACGATAATCGGTGCCACCGTTGCCACCGCGCGGGCTGCGCGGCCGGGTGAAAGCAGTGGCCGGGCGCTGTGACGAGGGAGTCCCCACGCGGTAATGAGGAACGTCTTGGCTATATGTGTCTGGCGCGCGGGTGGCAGACAAGGTGGGACTGTCTCTTGGGCCAGAGCTTGTGGTGGAGCCCGCATGACGGTGCGGGGCAGAGCCTCCTTCATCGTAGACCTTTCCACCGCCCGGGTGTGCTGTGTATGGCTTTCTTTGGCGCTCGATTGGTCGAGAAGGCACCTCCTTGTCCTCTTCATCGTCGACCACAGCAGCCGTCGAGGCGGTCGCTGATGTGGTATGGTATGGCTGACGCTCGCGCTCACTTAGCGACGCAGCGGAGTCCACCGAGCTCACCGAAGCCTTGTGTGCAGCCTTCTTGTGACGTTGTTCCGCAACCTGTTTCAGTTCCTCTTCAGAGATGGGAGGCAGGTCGACGCCGCAGTGTCGCATGATAAACTGATCAACTTCTTCCCTTAGGGACAGGTTAGGTATGTCCGGGAACAATCGTCGTGGAATCTCCTTCGGGAAGCGCTCTCTTCGATTATCGGGATTGTTGATTGGCATATTCAAAACGGTATTCTGGAAGCGCTCATACTCCTTGTCAGGGTGGGCCTGGATCATCAGAGTAGCCCATCGCTCGAACCCCCGCGGGGTCAAGCCTGGAATATCCGGTCTCTCGTTCAGCTTATTTTGTACGAGGTGATGTTCCGCCTCCACTTCGCGGAACAGTCTTGAAATGGAAGATGTGCGGTCATCGAAGATGTCTGTGACTGAGTTAGCACCGCTCAGAGTCGGCAACATAACCCTACTAACCTTGCCAGGGATAAGGATCGGACGATATATTGGTATCGGCGTAGAACTTCTGTAGTTTCTCGGAAGTGACAACCAGGGTGTTGCCCGGTGGATAGTCCTCGATCTATTGTTATTTGACCAGTCAACCTCATGTGCCCGAAATATTCGTCAAACGAACGTGCTTACCAGATGAACCGCGACTCCACGTAGAAGCTGGCCCAGCCTCTCCGTTGGCTTGCCCTTGTCAAACAGTTTGCCCCAGATCTTCTCTAACGTTGTCATCTCGGTCACTGTAACCTCTCGCGATGGTGCCTTTGGTCGGGAAGATTCTACGCTATGGCTATGATCACTGAATTGACTCGCAGGTGAGCCGCGACGGTCGGTCGAAGGTCCGGAAGATGGGCCCGGGTAAAGATGGGGACTGGCCGGGCGCCCTGTGGGCGGCATGGGCGTCGGATAGTCACTAGAGTCGGAGCCGACCTTGGGCGGAGGCGGTGGAGGACCAGCTTGGGGAGCCGTGGTGGGATATGTCGATTCTCCATAGGCGGGGGTAGCGGACTGCGGGGGAGGAGGAGGAGGAGGGGCCCATTGTGGCGACGACACTGGCGGGTGCTGTTGATCGCCGTGCAAACCGTCCAAGCCCGTTGCTTTCAGCTGCTGTATGACCGTCGCCGTGATCTGCGACACCACATCCGGAGACAGGTACGCCGGTGTATCAGCCTGGCGGAAGGCCGAGTTGACAGCCTCATTGATTCTTCCGGCAGGCGGTTGTTGCTGGGGCTGCTGCCAAGCATTGGGGTCATATGGCGGTTTGTTGTAAAAGTTGCCCGGCGAGGAGGGTCGTGGAGGCACCTGCGGCTGAGGGATATTCGGTTGGTCAGAGCCATATTGCGCTGGGTATTGCGCTGGGTATGGAGGAGTGTATGCGGATGCGCGGTTCTCGTTCGCATTCAGATGGCTGGGGTGTGGATATTGGGGATAAGAGCCGCCATTATTAGGGAAGCCGTTGTACGCCATCGAATCGGGGTAGTAGGTGAAAAGGCAAAGTCAAGAGATTGTTGCCCTGCGCTCTAGTACCGGCACAGGGTGATCATCGATGCTATGGTACTGTACTGGGATGAAACGCTGGGACCGCAAAGAGAGAGGCGGGGAGGGGCTTAAGGTAGAACAACGGCAAAGGAATGCAACGCTGGTGTGGCGAAGCGACTAATTTTGTTTCTGGTATGTTCCGTGAGAGGAGCAAAGAATGGGGTAGAATGGAAGAAAGAAAGAGAGAAAGTCTTCGGAGTGATCGGGAGAGTAAGAGAGAAACCAAGAGAGAGAGTGAGACAGTGGGTGGGAGTGGGTTGCGTGAGAGAGTAGAGAGAGGGTGGAGGGAGGGAGGGGCGGCAGACAGGCAGGCAAAACGGGCGGCGGATCTTGAAACAAACCGTCTAGCGAATAATCCACCATGTACTGTACTTGCCAGTTTGCCAGTTGGGCAAAAGTCACGGGGGAAGCAACTGACTACCAAAAAGCAAGCAGGGCAACTCTGGTGGAGCGCTCGGAAAAATAGATTCTGTAGTCCGAAGCAAAATGTCAGAAGAGGGGAGAAAACAGCAGCAGCGAAGAAGGGAAAGATAAGAATCCTCATATTCTGCCATACGTCATGAAGAGTCGGCGGATATGCGGGGAAAGTTTTTTTTAAAAAAAAAAAAAATAATCATCGTGCTAAAACACCATCTCCTCCCCTCCAAACAAGCAGCAGTAGCTGGTATGCGAGTGACTCCTCCCTCCCCTGGTCAAAACCCCCCGGATTCGAGGGTCGCACACCATGCCACTTCATCCTCCCACCATATTCGGATATCCTCCATGTCCATCAATCATCTCAGTGGCTGTAGACATTTCAATACAATGCAACTCGGGGAGGTCGTGCGTCTGGGTTGTCCTTCCACGGGCCAATGTCAGTCAGGATCTATACCTCGAAGTACATCAAAATACATGAATGCTGACGTACTCACCAGAGCGTCTTCTCGAGCTTTGGCCCTCAACCCTTGTGAGCCAGATTGGTGACAACCATGGTACGCTGGTGGGCAACGGGCCGCCTCAGTACCTGGGTAGCCCCAGGTAGGTTCCAAGGACCGTTCAATATCTAAGGATTTAAGAAGTAAACCAAGCGAACCGAGTTGGAAATGTCAAAACTCAGGGTTGCATTGTTGCGAGATCAGAAAATACAAAAAGCCACGGCAAAACAAGCTCAACCACCACCAATCTCCCATCACGCATATCCATCAACATCATCTGTGCATTGTGAAAAAAAAGTGGCAGGAGCAACATGAAATCAGAGAATGAAAGAGATAGAAAGATGTCGGTAGAACAATAAAGAAGTTTTCCCCTGGAGCTGTACATGTACCCCTGGTGGCACCTGGAGTACACCTGTGTACCGGCGCGTGGCCCGCTTAAAGCCAGTTCTCGAGATCTTCTTCGTCTTCATCCTCGTCCGAGGGGATAATGTCGTCGTTAGGCTCGGGAACACGCATGGAAGGCTCCTTGCCCTTGGGAATGCGTCTGCCCTGTACACAGTCAGTTAGCCCAGGCAGTTTCTTTCATTGTTTGTTCCAACCTACAGGGATCTTGGCCCATTTGCCGTTGGATCTGTCGGGCTGGATCTTCTCGGGCTCGTTATTGAAATAATCTTCATAACGAGTCTCCGGAACCTTCTTGTCTGGAGTGGCAACCTGAAACACCTCGCCATCAGGGCCGTGTCCCGCGTACTCGCGATCGTTCTTGGTGGTGACCAGGGCGCCCTCCTTCTTGCGGCTCCCGTCCTCGCCGCCGGCATTCTCGTCATCGGCACCGTCATCGAAGGAGCGGTTCTCGGCGATGTTCAGTTTCTTGGCGGATTGGGTCAAAGCAGTAACTCCAGTCTGGCTCGATGCTTAAGTCAACCACGGAACACAGTCTAGAGCCCGTGTATGGAACCACTCGATACTCACGGTTGTAGTGCCGCTGGCCGTAGCCGTAAGGTTGCCTGAGAACTGCCGCTGTCTTTCGGGCATCGGCTCCACCTCCAAGGCGTTCTGAACACAGTTCATGCATCTCTGTGTGTGGCGGATACAGTCAGAACACTCTGTTGCCTCGGACTGGATGAACGTGCAAGAACTTACCGCGGTATCACGATCTCCACGCTGGTTCTTCGCAAAATGCTCCAGAGTCTTGGTCTTGTCGCAGATGGAACACTGGAGCTCGACGATGCATCCACCAATGCACTGGCGGCAGCGGGCCTCGCATCCACCGTCAGCGGCTCGCTTGCCCCGAAGCACGATGGCATGGCGAATGATTTCCTGCTGGCGCTTGGAGTAAGAAGCCACGGTACGGTACTTCTTGCAGCTGGCACACTTGACTCTGCTATCTAGTCAGTTGCGGGATCTATATCAGATATATCAGAGGGGTGTTATCCAGACTTCTCCGGGATGATAGTGTTGTCGATCCTATATCAGAGCCACAAGAGTCAGGGGGGTATGTCAAGGAAGGTTTCGGTCACTAGGAGGACATACTGCTCTCTGAGAGCGTCACTGTAGCCGCCTCCGTAGGCACTGGGAGGCTTCCTGGTCATACTCATGGTTGCTGTAGGTCTTTGTGATGTCACGTGCTTTGTAGTTTACGACTTCAGAGACGATCCAGAATGCGGAAAGGCGGTGAGAATCCAAAGGATCAGAGAGAAGAGGGAGCGCACTGAGGTTCTGGGTGTGTTTGCTGGGCCTCAGTGATGTCGAGTGAATGGAACCGTCGTCAAGGTGATTAGTGTGTTGTATTTTCCCCGGTGCCAGAACAACCCAGTGAATATATCCAGTCGCTCTCTGCCATCTTCAGCAGTACGGCCCATGGAATGTCTTAAGGAAGACAAATGTGATTAAGAACCAGAGCACTGTCGGTGAGTTGCCAAAGAGCCAGTCTCAGCTCAGTCTGTATATTTCCATTTTGGGAAGGTGTTAGCCAGGATTTGTTGTATACAACTACAACCACACACGAAAGCCCACCTGAAGAACGAATTTGGTGCTATTTGGCCCAGAAAAAGCAAGACATGGCTGTGCTACTGACATAGATTATACATGCATAGTACATTTCTAAAAGCTAGACAACAACTATGCTGCCATGATGATGCTATTGCATGGTGTTGTCGTTTGTCAATGCTCATGCCTTGCAGCCTTAGTATAGTACATACTGTCTGAGTGAGTGACACAGAGCAAGGAACTTCCAAAATGCTCACAGCCTACTTCTGAAACTATCAACAATGAGTCCAAGGCAAAGGACAGTCCCCCCGGAATCCACCCAGCCATCCCGAAGCCGTTTGCCAGAACCTTAGAGAGCCAAACAGGCTGGTATGACACAACTGTCATGTCAACAGCGGCGGAAAGCTCGGACTGTGTTACATATAACAGAAGAGAGATATAGCCAGCCAACGAATATGATGTAAGAGTTAGGCATGCAGAAGATGAAGATGATACACGTCAAGAGCGGATGACACCTGCACTGGGGTGGCAGGTAGATAGCTATACCTACAGTTGCTATGGCACATCAATTTCCGGAAGTGGATCAGAGGCCCCCAGGTACAGGTAGTCTACCAGGGGGGACGCTGTCCGTCCGTCGTCCGTCGTTTGCCTCCGACATCATCTTGACGGGATCAGGGCCGATCTGGCATGCAGCATCGCGGGAGGACTGCAGGCACCCTGGTCCCTACTGCAAAGCACAGCCGCTCGTCCAGCAATCAAGTTTCATCCCAGCGTCCAGGGACGCCAGGTCTCATTTCGCTTGGCTAATGACAAAGAAGAAGGATCTCTTAACTCGGATGACTGATCAAAATAGCCCCTGAAGTGCCCTCATCCGGACTGACCTAGTCGGTTCCTACAAACGCAGACTCATAAACACCTAGTCCTTTGGCGAAACACGCAGCGTAGCAGCTATAGGGGAGGAGTAGGGCTGGCGGTTGTCCATACGATACGAGACCCCTTCCGGACAGCCGTACTTTTGGTCATTTGTGCTTGTGGCGAAGGTTTCTCAAATGCAGGACAGAGGACTACTATCATAGACTAGTTCTCCTGGTGGAAATTCCTTAGTGGCGTTCCAGAAACATGTTTAGCCGTGTCTTGCGCAGGCGATGTTCGGTTGATCCTCCATGATGCGGCGTGGAAATGGCTGCCGCAATTCATCCGGGCCAACGGTCACTGGGAATGCAGGCCAAATACGAGCACTGCTAGGTGATCGAGAGTCTCTTTTTTCACACACACACACACACTCTCTCTCTTGCCCTACGGGAGGGATTGAGCGATTTTCTGTCCCCTGTAGATCCTTCCACTCCGCTTCCACGCAGCTGCCGTGATCCTTCTAGAACTCTCGTGGAATGCGACGGCTTCGAAAGCTATACCGCAGTCGTCCTTGGTATAATAGCTAAGGTAGCTAAGAGAAGCGATAGCAGCTTAGGATAGGCGGGGCTGCAGCAGTGTTGGATGCTAAGGATGCTAAGGATGGAGAAGACGGTGAACGAGAAGGCAGAGTAGCCAGCGTGGAGATGGGGAGATGTTGCGACGAGACAGGAGAGTTCCACTCCGACCACCACCACTGGTCAGCCGGGCAGGTCGGGAAGCGGAGACGGAAACTACACCGAGTGGGGATCCGCATTCCCCGAACGCCCCGGTGCAAACAGAGGCCGCCATATTGACTCCACTAGCATCCACTTGTCTCCTCCCTCACACGAATCATTCTCGCATTGAGACTCCACCCCTCTATTAAGTCCAGGTAAGGTGGTGTTTGGAATAGGAATGGCCGCATGGAGTCATGGTCCATGGTCCGTCCATGTTCCATGAATAATCGAGGAAGAGGAGTCATGCCTGCGTCCCGTCGTCTAGTGCTCCGGACCAGTCAATCCACTCTTCCCTTTCTGCGCTGGTGCCCGAAGCTTTCCCAGAAATCTTATTCAAGTTTGTTCATGGTTGACTTCCAACCCTTTTTTCGACTGAGTAATCTCGCCGGGTGTTTGGCTGCTTGTTTAGTTGCATGGTGCTTTTATTGATTGCCAATAACGCAACCCTCCGGAAAGCTGGAAGCCAAGGGCACCACGGATATTAGTAAGGGGAAAACAACAAAGCTCGGAGTAACTAAACTATAGTACTGGACGTAGTGCCGTTCAGATTGTTTCGGAGTAGCGGACATTGCTCCCCAAACAAGACAAACACCGCCAAAGGAAAACAGAGAGAGAATTGCAGTCTAGTAGTTGAGGAGTTAGTACTTAGGAGAGGCGGAGTATCAAACATCAACTTGACAGGATCCAGTAGTATGCACTCCGGATTGTTCGCAGGCAGCCCCTCCACGCGTCTTGCCCCTCCCCCGCCACTTTATTCTTTAATAGGAAAAAGACTGGTGTGAAAAAGAGGGTCAAAAGAACGGTAAAGAAAAGAAAAGAATGGAGAGAGGGGAGAAGCAAAAAGACGGTGACTGGCATAGCTTCGGGGCAGAGAAGATGGGCAAGGTGAGGTAGAGGCGGTGACTACCGTGACGGGCCGTCGACTCCGTTCCTCTCTTT